GTCTTTGCTCTCAAAAGGTCTTTCAGGCCCTCTGTGCCAAGAAAAAGCAGCAGCAAGAACATGGTGTTAGTTTAAAAAAGGCGAAGAGCTCAAGAAAAATAGATAAATCACAAAGCTCTTCTCTCCCCAAGGTCAGCAATTGCTCTACAAACCAGTAGCCATGCAAGGAATGATTCTCCAGAATTTATCCATTCCAAGCACTCTGGCTTTTTGTAAATACTGTGTGATCCCAGACACCTCATTTTACAAAAAAATTTATCTGTTAGCTGCAAAGACCCTTGGCAGCCTCACCTGCCTGCACGCTTTGAGAAACCCTTGGGAGAAGACAGCTGCAAGGAGATGGGCCTCTGGAGGCTCTTCCAGAGGTGCTTCTCATTCAGGTTTGGCAATGGAGGGGATGAGCTCAGTGTAGGAGAGGGCTGTGCCAGGAAAATTCAACACACAACACCACTGAGCATCTCTCAAGAACATCCCCAAAGCCAATTAATTCACAGAGTATCTGCCTTCTTTTATGAAGGCAGGCCTGAGTTTAGCACATGTGCAAAAGCTGGGAGTGGTGTGAGATGAGTGCATCCAAAGCAGAGAAACCTTCAGCAGAGGCCTTTGCAGGTATGAACACATCCTTTGTCACATCCAGAGTGAACACCAAAGCCAAGTGTTTTAAGTGGATTGTGTTAAGTGAAAACCTTCATGCCAAGATTCAGGCTTCTATATCTAAACTGCTCTGACTTGTATGTAAAAGTTAAGAGGAAAATGCCCTGTATCCAGGCTAAAACCAGATGTCAACTGGGCTGGTTTCCACGTGAGACAGCCACCTCTTTTATGGGCTCTGGGCTCTTCACCGGCTCTTCCAAGGGGACAATGTTTCTTTTACTAAGCCAGCAATGACTGATTCACAACTCCAAGTGCCCATTTCCCACAGAGAGCTTTTTAGGCTCAGACAAGGACATCTGCAATGCCCATGCTCACAAGCAGGGTGATGAAACACTTGTTTGCAAACCCACTGTCTTCCCAGGTGCTGCTCACAGAACGTAAAATACAATCTGGGTTGGGTTGCTTGCAGGTCAAGGCCTCTTTTCAGCTCAGTTGAACTCCTCTTCCTAACTGACTGTGCTTGTTTCTGCAATTGAGTGGCAATAAGTGCCTGCAGGGGTTTCATCAGCTCTCTGTGAAGTCAACAAAGCCGGTTGAGAAATTCCCATCTTGTTGACATGCAACAAGCCATCACTGATGGACACCCATTCACCCATTCACTTTTTGCCCAGCAGCAATGAAAGCTATGCAATCCTCATGCTGCTTCTCCTTTGGTTCCATCCTACCTAGACCTGAAATATGGAGAAATGAGAATTCTGTTTTTTCCAAGTCTGCCCACAAAGTTCAAATTGGAACTTTGGGAAGCAGCTCTGTGCACCCATTATTATTCCTGGTTCTCAGACTGGACTGCCTGGGGCTTCTACCCCTCCCTTCCTGCCCATGGCAGGGCAAGGTGCACTGAGATGTAAAGTGGTCCAAATAATATTTCTGTATCCAGAAGCAAAACAAGCCCAACCAGGGGCAGGAACACTCCCAGACACAAGAGTCCCAGCAGCAGTCAGAGCAGGGGAAAGAGGCTGGGAAAGGGGAGGAGGAAAAAGGGGGAGAAAAGGGTAGGAGAATGAGGATAGAGAAAGGGAACTAGGGATAAGGATCCAGGAGCTGGAGCTTTAAAAAAATAAGCCCATGCATGACAAAAGTACGCATTTTACCCATAAAGTTGTAAGGCATAAAGATGCTAGCTAAGGAATATTTATAAGGCAGGCATGCCTGCTCCCAGTGAGAAGAGCTTACTTAGATGCTCTCCAGCTCTCAAAAACTCTAAGACTAGCCAAAAAATCTGTGGCTGGAGGACAGCCAGCCCATACCCAGGCCGAATGATGACAACCCATAATGATTTTTGTCTCACTGCAGACGACTGGTGACAAGCACATATGAGGCTCAGCCTTCTTGTGCAGCCATCCTATTTGATTTCCATGAGTGCAGGGGCAAAAAAAAATATCACTGAATGAGGGAATAATTAACTTTTGGAGGGACTTCTGGAGGTCAGAAGTCTTGGATCTGGATGTAAATAATTGAGATTATAAATCTTAATAACAAACACCTCAATTTTCAGTGCTTCTTGTCTCTTTTATCAGACCTCTGCTTGGCCCAAGCCCTGCCTTTTGCCTTGCCACTGACCTCCAAAGCTGCTAATTAAATACATAGAGATAAAGTCTCCAGCCACCTCCTGGGCACCTTGGATGGACTGGGTACCTGCTTTTGCCCCCTTAACCACCAGCAAAACCCTCTTTGCCCCTGTGGTGCAGGATCAGCAAATGGCTGGCTCTTGCCTCCTGGAAAAAGCCACTCAGACACCTCCAGCATTGCCACACGGCTACCAGGGGGCTGTGCAGCATCGCTGCTTTCTCTCCCTCTTGAACACGGGCTCCATCTGCAGAAGAAGAAATCTTGGTTGGCGAGGCTCTAGGGGACCACAGAGCAGATGACACAGCGACCCAGCTCAGAGCACGTACTGCCCTGCCCTCTAGGCGCAGACACGGAACACAGCACAGACAAAAGCCGAGGACCAGTCGGTTTTCCCCCTCCTTTACTTCTCTTCTTGTCTCATCTTCCACCCTCCAAGTGCAGGAGGAGCACTGGTGAGGCAGAAGATGCTCAGACATCTGGCTTTGATCGATGATGGACAAGCACCCCCGCCAAGGCCACAGGGAGGTGGAAAGGATGGCTTGCACAGGAGACAGGGCTGTCTGCTTTGCTGCAAACAGGCTCCTGAGCAGGCTGTGCTCATTTGGGGTGAAATAAGGCATGAAATGAAGCCCAGATCCACCAGCCCTGCTTCAAACAGCTGCCAGCAGATACTAAGAGGATCCTGCCAGAGGAGGAGAGTGCTCAAAGCCGTGCTGTAAGGCTTACTGAGAAGGTGAAATGATGACAGAGGGAAAAAGCAGCCTTGGCGGTATATTAAAAACTGGAGCTGGGTGGAGAACATCCCCACCTGCTCGCCTCTCCCTCCTGAGCAAACAAGTCAGTTTGCTGAGTTTTACTGCATGAAGGCTCACTCCAGGTAGCCCAGAGCCAGCCCAGCTGGGTGCTCACTCCCACATTCCCCAGCCTTTCCCCCAAAAGCACCATGGGCTTCTCTCTGCAGCTCTGCTCACCCAGCACTGCGCTGGCCATCCCGGCACTAAGCAAGGCCCAGGCTGGAGAGAGAAGGGGCAGGCACTGCTATGGGAAGTAAGTAATATTTCTCAGGGAGGGGCTGTCTCTGCACCTCCTTCAACTGCATCTGTTTTGGGTATGCACATACTTTTATGTCCAGCCCCATAAATTATGCAGTGAACCTCAAGGCTATGACTTCAAAATAAGGGGACTGGGAAAAGCACAGATACACACATAAAAATAAGAACTGCAAGTTCCGAAAGTCCTTTCTGGATGCTGCATAGCCCTAAATCAGCACAACAGCATCACCAAAAACCAACCTGGCAATAGATTTGGAACCCCAACCCCAATTCAGAGATGTCTCCTTCTGCACAGCCTGTTCTAGGCTGATTCTAATGTTGAGACTGAAGGCTGAGGCTTTAAAACATCCCTTTACAAGTCTTTCTCAGGTGACTGATTTCCTCCTCCATCTCATTAGCAGCTGCCAGCAGATGCTGTTTCCCCAGCAGAAGGCACACTTCACTTGTTACAGTCATCTCAAAACCACCCTGTCATTTCTCCCCTCCTCACAGCCACAGCGAAGCCTGGAGAATATTCATCAAGAGGCAGACACAGCAGCAGCTTTTTATGGTTAAGTTCAGGTCATTAATCTCTATCAAGGCTTTTCATAATCTTCCTCAGCTTCATGTTTGTTTAACTCTTGGATAGTCGCTCTGTGGAGCTCTGGGTAATCACAGATTAACTGCTTTTTAATATTAATAGCTTTTCATTAATGTGCCAGGCTCTCTCCCCTCCAGAGTCCAGGCAATAGCTATTAGCACTGAGCTGCAGCTCCCTGTGGTGAAAAGGATTTCTTTTTTTGGGGCCAAAATTCCACAGCATGAGCCCAGATCTTGTGTTCTGTGGCTGCTTTATAGCAGAAGGATTTTAGAACAGGAGTAATTCCCAGTGCAGGGAGCTTCCTCCTGCATATGGCTCAGAGAAGCTGCTCTGGAGTCACCCCAAACTGCAGCATACTCAAGGGCATGTAGTGGCACCACTGCAATGCCCTCATCCTTCTAGAAGAGATCTTTGCTTGTGCAGCCCCAGCACCAAGGCCCCATAAAGTAGGGTGGAGCAGGACATGTGGCCACAAAAAACTCCCAGATTAAACATGAAACCTGTCCAGAAGTGATGTGAGGGCTGCAAGCCAGTCTTCACCAGGGTGGTGTGATCACAGTGTGAAAGCAAGAGCCTCAGCCCCTCCACCCTGGCAGGACCTCCAGGTGCCACTCCTGTAGGACCATGTGAGGTGAAAGGAGCTGACATTGTGCATCTTCATCCATGTGGTGCATGGGGATGGCCACTGGTGAGTCCCAGAGCCTGAGTCACATCTTAGTGTGCACAAATCCTCATGGGCTGAGAATAGGCTATGTGTGAAGCCACATTGCTTCTCATTTAGCCTCTAGCCAGGACACAGAGCACACATTAGAAAGGCACTAAAGAGCTAACTCAATCCACCTGTATTCCTTCTCTCAAGCCTCTTATGTTCTTCAATATCTTGGTCTTGTTTAAGATCCTTCATAGGAAACATGAACACACTTCTCACCAAGGTATTCACAACTAAAGAAACTTTCCACCCATGCCACCAGCATGCTTTATAAACATCAATGGACTCAGTTTTGCATGAGCCTGAAGCTCTGTGTATTTTCCCTCCAGCCCATGAGCAGTGGGATGGGCTGGCTCCTGTGCCTGTGACATCCCCACTAGCATGCTCTGCTCCACATCCAGCCTTGCCCTGGGATGCCAAGCTCCCCTGTCCTAGGTGCAACACAGAGCACAAGCTGCACCAGCAGCCATACCTTGGCCAGAAGGAGTCCCAGTCTCTTTGCTGAGAGTGAGCTGGGACCAACATGTCTAGAGTTGGCTGAGCAAAACCCCCTCACTCTTCCACAAGCCCACCATCCTGCTCCCTGGGTGGAGAATGGGACCCCCACTATCTGGAGTGCAGGGGCAGCTTGAGGTGGGACTTCAGTCCCAGGGCTTTGTCCACCACGTCTGGGGGCTGCAGGATGTGCCACTGGGCGAGGGGCCGGCGTGGGTTGGACAGCATGTCGGACCAGTGCCGCAGCTGGCTGCCTGTGGCTCGGCAGCCCAGGAAGAGTTTGCCCATGGGCTCGTTCTTGGTCACTTTGTCATGATCCCAGACGGAGATGACCACGTCCACATTCTGGGGGGGATAAAAGAAAGAGGGTCAGTGGGAAGAGGTCTGTTGCAGTGAGGACCTGCTCAAGGAACTTCAGGGAAACCCACCTGGATTTGACTGAAAGGCACCTCAAAAACAAATACCTCGTTGAAGTAAGGGCTTAAGGTGTTTTTCTTCACACTTGTCCTTTTTTTCTTCCATTTCTTCCTGTTCAGTATGAGATGCACCTTGACAAAAGGATCTGAAGAGAGAGAGGGCACATCTTGCACAAGTGACAGTTTTTGACTGAAGAACTCAGACACAAAACATCTTTCCTGAGCCATTCCCAAGGAGACCATGGCATCCCACTTGTCACTCCTTTTGGTGAGACAGCCATCTCAGAGCTCACTTCCTTCTGCCAAGTTCCCTGTACAATCCAGTCATGACATTTCCTCCTGGGAGATACCTGCAGTACCGCCCAAAGCTGGAGTATCTGTGCTGGGAATCAGCGAAGGGCTGAATATGTTGTTGCAGCAGGAAGCAGGTCTTAACACCAAGAGTTTTCAATGCTTTGCAGCTCTTGGTGCCACCACTGAGGCCTGGGCAGGAGCAGGAAGGTCTGAGCAGAAGCAGCCCCCATTGACCTGAGAGTCCATCCGAGTCCATCCGCTTCAGCTGCTTGGCTTCCAGGATGAGCACCGTCAGCTTGCCAGTGCTGGGGACGTAGCGCAGCGAGAAGCAGATCTCACCCAGATGCTCTTCCTGATAGATGCCACTAGTTAGTACCAGGCAGAGGAACCAGCTCACCTGAGGCTCTAGCCTCACCAGGCTGGCCCCAGGTTTCCTGAGTCTCCCCCACTCTCATGCTTGCCCCTAAAGGCTTGCTTCTTGGGGCAGTGACAAACCAAGAAACCGCATATCCCTCCCAGCAGTTTCCCACCCACCAGGACCAACCTCCACTTTACTGGCCACCGCCAGGTCACTCCACTGCTTGATGACATGCTGCAGGTTGACACTGGCCAGGGGCAGCCGAACCTCACCAATGATGTCATGCTTGGAAAAGCGGTTGAAGTCATAGATCTGCATCACCAGTGTGGATTTAGACACCTCAGCCTGGGGTACCTGCAGGAGAGGATCCAAAAGCCTGGACTCACTCCTCAGTGGCAGCCCTGCCCCATGAGGGTATTCCTCTCTCACATTTCCCAGTCCTGATTGCACAAGCAACTCCCAGTTTGGAGAGTTTTTTGCTCAGGGAGGAGTGTCTGTGCAACACTTGATGGGATAAAAAAAAAAACAAAAAACCATCATTGGCTTTGGTTTGTACCTGGAACGTGAAGGTCTCGTTAAAGATGGGGTTCAGGTTCTTGCGGTAAACCTTGGTCTCATATCTCTTCTTGATATCAGACATTAGGTAGACAATCACATATGGGTCAGATGTGCCTCTGCTGTCCATGGCCCTCAGCTCAACTGCCTGCTTCACATCAACTTTCAGCTGGAGAGGAGTGAGGCACAAGGTCACCAGGTGGAGAAGGACGGGGTCAGGCAGCTGGGGGCTCAACGGGAAATGAGTGCAACAGTGTGGAACGCCTTGACACCATGCAGGCATGAGAGCTCATGGGCTGCAGGCAGGTGGGAGAGGGCATGTCCACCTCAATGGCAGAACAGAGTGACCATGCAAGAGCATGGCTTTTTCCCTGCTGTGCCATGGCCATGAGCATCCCCACCTCCTGTATGCGGAAGTTGTACTCCAGGGAGTACTGCAGCTTTCCTTGCCTCTTCTGCTCTACTTCCCACTCCAGGTCCTCCATCTCAGGCTGGACCTGTGGCAGAGAGCAACACTCAGCCATGTCCCTGTTATGCCATGCTCCCACCATCCCTGGGGCTGGGAAGTGCAGCAGCAAACCCCTCATATGGGAGGGAGGTGGGATTGAGGGGAAGGCAGGACGCACAAGGTTGATCGTGGTGGAGTTGCTGATGGCGCACAAGCCAATTCTCTCCTTCTTCTTGTGCTTCTTCTTGGTACAGCAGCACTTGATGATGCAGATGAGGAAGAGAAGGAGGAGAATGGCCCCTGCCACAGCCACGGTGATGAGCGCCCATTTGGGTACTGGTGCGATGTTCAGGGAGAAGAGTTGGATAGAAGAGTTAAAACCAAGCAAAAAATACAGAGTACATTTAAACTTCTTCCTGGTGCTTCAGCATTAAGGAGTTCTACTTTCAAAGTTGCCCCTAGAATCCTGGATAGGCCCCATGCAAGGAGACCAAGGCTGAAAACCCTTCCCCAAATGGGTAACAAAAATACCCTCTGCTCCTGAAGTAGTGTGGTACTACTCTGCAGTAATCCCACCCTGATGGAGCCCACTAGAAAATGGAGTTTGAAGGGAGAGTGAAGTGAATACACAGCCTCAGAGTCCAGCAGCCCCATCAGGTAATGCTGCCTGGGAGAGGAGGGCAAGAGACACCATACTCACATGGGATCCAGCTAAACCAGCTGTCCAGGGAGCCTGGCCAAGCCGTGGTGGCTATGCTGGTGTGTGGGGAGGCTGTAGTCCTGCCTTTCCTGGCTGCTACTGCCATGGCTAATCTGGGGTGACCTGGGAACACAGGCAAAATTAACAGGGTGGGGATTTCCTCTCCGGTAGCACGTTTGCTGCCCGTAGCCCAGGGCTCTAATGAGAGCAAACACAATTAAAATATAGAGCTTAGGGTAAGTGATTAGAGCTTGGCCACATTGACAATGAGATGTGAAATGGAGCGGGAGGGAGCTGCTAGCAGGGAGGGCTCTGCATCACCTGGTCCCTCCTTCATATCCTTGCAAGTCTGCCTGCTGAAAGCAGAGAGGTTGCGGGGTCCAGGGAGTTTTGAGAAGAGGAATCACTTGGCTGTAGGGGATAAAAACCAAGGGCTATTTTGTGCTGGCTTGTCCCCAGCTGGGCAGAGTGAGCTGAAGGGTTTGCTCAGCTCCAGGAAAGCCTCATCATCAGCTAACACCCCTTTTTGGCTATTGCCCCTCCTGTCGCAGGGCTGAGGAGAGGTCAGGTGCCCTCCTGCAGCAGGGTCTGGTGCCCTCCTTGCCAGTGGCAGTGCTGCCACCGGGCTGGGGCCACGCCGGCTCAGAAACTTTCCGTGAGCTTGGCCTGTGCACATGGGCAACGCTGACACAGCCTGAGGGAAGGCTTCAAGTTTAAAGCAGGATGGTTTTACAGCATTGTGTTCCCCACGGCAAAGCTGTTATTCTAGCATGAACACTTCCTCATAGCCTAATTCCTTTTGCGTCAGCGGGACAGGTGTGCCCGGAGCCGTGCTGCGCGGTGAGCGGGTCTGCAGCCACCAGGCACGGGTGGCACCCAGCCCCGGTGCCCGGGCTGGCAGGTATGTGCCTGTGGCTGTCAGCCTCCTGCCCCGCGTTCCAGTGGCTGCCTGCTCAAGCAGCCAGCTCCACCTTCCTCTGCCTGCACCCTGCCCACGCTCTGCCCATCCCAAGGTACTCCTTGTATGGGGATCTTCCTGGGGAGGAAGAAACCACAGCTGCACTTCACTGAGCCCGCAAAGCCAGCAAGCAGCCTTTCCTTTCCCAGCAGTGTACTTTGCTGCACGTGGGCAGGGGGCTGGAGAGACGTGGGAATTGCTGTCACCCCTGCGGTGTCATTGCTGGGACAATGAGGTGCAGGTTAAATTACTTGTCCAGGGCCACCTGGAACTTCTGTGCCATTGGACACCCGAAGCATCGCTCAGGTATTTTAGAGGTGCCGGCTGCAGCTTTGGAGTGAACAGTGGACAGGACAGCACAGGCTAGCAGGCATCCACCCAGCACACAATTGGGAGTGCCATTACACTTTGTCTGCCACAGGCTGTGTCACGTTAGTCTAACATTAACCCTGGTTTAAAAAAAAACCTTTATCCCAACCCCAAAGAATGAACCAAGCCACCACCTTGGGAACGATGGGGACAGCCCTGCTGCAGTCTGGCACAGGAGGCATAGTCTCAGTGGGCAGTCTGCTGGGAGCACTGAGCATCCAATGTTCCTGGAAAAGGAGCTGGGGGAACCCTGGCTCTTGCTCCCACCCTGTGCTGACTGGGTTCCCAAATCCAGACTTACCAACAAGTATCCTTCTCAGTGTCAGCCTCCCCTCCCTGCTGTGCAGGCTCCAGTCAAGCCACCACGTGTGGCAGGGGCATGCTGTGGGCTGGGATGGGAGCCCACCAGGCACACCACTGAGGGTGCAGAGGGGATGGTGGCTGCACTGCACAGCTGAAACTGGAAAGTCTGCTCTGCCAGCTCAGGAGCCAGGTGGCCCCAGCAGCTCCGCTGGCCCCACCTCACCACTGACCCAAGCAGTGTTCATGCAGGCGAAAAGCCAGTGGGGAACTCCCTGCTGGACCAGGAAGCAAAACCTGCCCTCCTGCCTGCAAGAAGCTGGAGGGCATTGCTGCACAGCTCCATGCACTGGGAAATTCGCTTCTCCAAGTTATCCCTGCAGCGATGCTGGGCTGGAGGCTGCAGGCTGTGCACAAGCCACTGTGTGGCTGCAGGCACTTAGCACAAGGGAATGGACACCTCCAAGGGGATGGGTGCATGACTGCATCCATCCCTGGTGAGCTCTGCACTTGGGCCACAGGGCATGCACTGTGTGAGGGCCTGCAAAACGTGTGTGTGGATGAACAGGAATGCTCTGCTGCAACATGGCAGGGAGGACAGACAGGGCAAGGGGATACTGCTTGGGTGGTTTCATCCTCCAGCACCAACAGAAGCACCAGGCACACAGCCAGAAGCAATTTCACAAGTTTCCATTGCATTAAATTTATGCTTGTAAACTTCTTCCCTTGCTGCCAATTCAGCAAAGTCTGCCTGAAACCTTCCTTATCGCCACGTAAATTTGGGGTGGTGTCAGCAGTAGGGAGCAATACTGCAAAACTGCCAGTGCCTAGTGTCTGGTGTAGTGATGGGAGGAGATGCCCAGAAACCAGACCTGTCCCAGATTTGTCCCACCACCCTAACTCACCAATCCTTCCAGATGTTCACATGGCCACAAAGGCATTCCACAGCGGGTGCCTAGCCACAGGAGAGGGCCTAGGGCTGCCCCTCAGCTACCCAAAAAACAGCCACACTCACAGGGGCCTTGCACTCCTGCTGCTCAGAGAAGCACCATCTCCAGGAGCAGGAGATGCAGGAATGATGATGCAGGATTGATGCTGCAGCAAACCTCTGGGGAAACTTTTTGCTCTAAACTGGAAATCCCAAGGGATGCACAACAGAAATACATTATGAGGACAGGGGAATAGGGAATATTAAAATCCTCCAGGGAATGGGGGGTCTGCATATACATACTAAAAGCTGAGCACATAAGGAGCCTTTTCACAGGTTGTTTGCTAGAGACAGCTAAAAGAGAAGAGATTCAGATCTTAGGAAGAAATTCTTTACTCAGAGGGTAATGAGGCACTGGAACATGTTGCCCAAAGAAGTTGTGGCCTCATCCCTGGAAGAGTTGAAGGCCATGTTGGATGGGCCTCTGAGCAAGCTGATCTGGTGTGTGGCACCCCTGCCTATGGTGGAAGGGGTTGCAACTAAATTATTTTTTGGGCCCTTCCAACCAAAATCATTCTGTGATTCTATGAGCTCAGTGAGGCCAAGCTGCACAGGACCCTGGTGGCTTCCCACATTTTGGGAGGAGATTTGGTGATTCTGGTGATAGCCTGGTGTCATGCAGGAGGACGAGTGCTCAGCCTTAGTGCAGGTGAGTTTGGTCTCATTGGCAAGAGCCAGGCTGGGCAAGCTGCTTCCGTGGAACTTGTTCCAGCAGCAGGACAAAGGAAAAACTGCATGATGGTCCTGTGTCAGCCCCCCTCTCATCATCCTCTCCCCCCCGCATCCCTGACAGTCACTCTGTTGGATAGAAAAGGGGTGTTGAACTATCTTGGCACCATGAGCCCCACAGGGCTGGGTGCCACGCAGCCTACCCAGAAAAGTAAAATCCTAGCCCCAAAATCAACCCTGCTCAGGACAGCATGTGAGACAGGGCTTTCAGATTAGGGAAAAGAGACCCAAAACCATTACAGTAAAATTGCAAACGTGCTGCATCCAGCCATGCTCTGCACGGCTGCATGCCTTTGCTCCCCGCATCCCTGTATACGCCGTGAGTTAATCTCGACCAGGTACCCCTGTTTTTTTCAGTCAAAAATGCAACCATTCAGGGGCTGGGGAATGAGAGGACTAGAGGCACGCTATAAATACTCCAGCTGCAGAAATAAGACATCACGGCTTGTGGACAGCGATCAGCCACTAAGCACAAGCAGCTAGAGGGCTCCGGAAGCAGGAACAGCGCCGAGTCCCCTGCGCAGGGTGACCGCGGCTGTGTCCGGAGCCAGCCCCAGGTGACCGAGATCCTATGCAATGCCAGCTGGGAAATGCAGGCTGGCCCGGGCACGATGCCAGCCTGCTGGCTGCCTACAAATCCCGGCTCCCGCCTGCTTCCTGCAGCGCGGGCAGGGGGAAATATAAACAGCAGCGCCTGGGGCAGGGCGGGGATGCTGCCGCTGGACGGGCCGTGCCGGGGAGCAGAGGCAGCGCTCGCGGTGAGTGTGGGCTTTTCTTTCCAGCAGAGCCCTGTCTCTGTGCACGGGTAACATCTCCTCCCTGCTAGGCAGCCGTAGGAAGAGTTGCCGGGACCGGCAGCACCCGCCTGGAATGTTTTCCTGCGGTCTCGCAGCGAGACGTGTGCCTGTGCGGATCCGTGTGTTCGGATGCGAACGGCGCTGCGGGTTATCGGGGCAGGGAGATGGAAAGGAGAAGTCGAGCTTGGTTTGCAGTGCTTGGAAGAGCGAAGCAGAAATTACAGGTGGAGTCTCCCACCAGGAAGGGCTGCTCAGCTCCGTTGCCTCCTTACATTTAATTTTGACTTTCAGAGAATACTTGGCTGGGATTATGTCAGAGGAAAGCTTCTGCCTGCGCAGCTGGGCTGGTGTTTGCCACCCTCTCTGGGAGGAGACCCCTTCCCAGCATGGGGTGGAGGAAGCAGAGGGATGCTCAGCATCTCCTGCCTTTCCAGGCAGCCCTGGCTGGGGAAGCAGCCCTGCTGCAGGACTTTCTACTCCTCGGGTAGTCGAGGAGTGCACATGCAAGCACTGAGCCCCCCATGGCAAGGCTGCGGCTCTCACGGCTGGCATCAGCCAAGTGTGTTGCCCACTGGCCCAGGTAACATTTTGCAGTCCCTGAACAATAAACATTAATTAAATAAAACTGGGGCAAAAGACAGTTCTCTGTGGAGATCCTGACCTGTCCTTTACACTGCGTATTGGCCTTGCTCTTTGCTTGCCCAGCCCCCAGAACAGTAATCAGGTAGGGCCTGTCTGGCTCACAGGGCTATGGAAGGGCAGACCAACCCCATCACAGGGGTCTCAGCCTTTATCCAAGTGCTCACCCTCACCACACACTTCTACTTACTTTTACAGCCTTTTACAGCTGCAAATGAGCTGCTGATTCACTGAACTCCATAATTTGTAGATACAAATTCACCATTCAAGCAAAAGTGGCAAAAAGGCAACAAGGATGTGAACTAGAAACCTACCTGTAAGATCTAACCTACTTTGGCTTTTAAAGACAGCCTTATTTTGCTTGGAAAAGAGCTGTACAACAGCTTTCAGCAGTTCCACACAGTTTTTCTCTTTGAGAAAAACAAAAGCAAAAATAAAGCAGTGATCTGTGTTTGAAAAGCCACTTTTCCATGACATTTAGTTGGAAGTACTAGAACAGTTTTTCTTGGAGCAAAGCTGCTGTCAACAGAAACAGGTTCATTTGGGCTGCTGTACTTGGTGTGTAAGATGTTTCCTGTCTCCTTTCCACTCTTCCCCCTCTCAAGAATGACTATAGATTGGCTACATTATAATCTATCCATTTAATTTTATATTTTCTTTTAAAGGCTGAGAGTTGAAGATGGCAGAGCTGGAAAGCACAGTCATAAACACCAATGTAAAACAGGTAAAAGGCTGTCCATTACAAAACACACATCCTGTATTTCCAAACCACGTTCTGAAATGTCACCACAGAAGAGAACACTCCACAGCTCAGAACTGTGGTGGCCTGAATTGCTCATGTCTGGGTTTCAGCAGAAGTGGCTGTCCCAGGGCTGCTGGGCACCTGGTCCCAGTGAAGTCTATGCAATTTCCAGTTGCTTGGACTGGGCACGTACATTTGCTCACACTTAAATTTTGGAGCAGCCAGGGAGAAAGCAGCAGCTTCTCTACATACACAGAGGCTTCATTCAACTGTCCAGAACAGACAAAAACAAAGGGTAGTACCACCAGTATGTGCAGAGAAACCCAGCACAAACAGATGACTGTGGCTGTGTTGTCCCCATAAAGAACAAAATTATGGAGCAATCCCCTCAGTGTGAGCTGTCCTTGGAGCATGTGGCACTTATCAGACAGGTTAGGGTTTCACAACTGCCAGCCCCATCCTTGGTGGCCTGAAAATGAAGACTGGGTGTGGTATCTGTGGCATCAGAACCGTGACACAGGGGTGATACCTCCAGCATCCAACCCTACCACTCTGGTTGGTGCCCCCTGCTCACCCCACCTCCATGAGCTCCTTCTCTGCTGTCCCCTGACTCCTCTTTCCTCCCTGTCCTGCAGAAAGACCCCAGCACGGCACTGGTCATTGCTGTGACCACCAGAGCCATCTTCAACCTGGAGGAGGAGCACAAGCTCTACCTGGAAAAGGGCAAGGAGGAGTACACAAGGCACCAGCAGGCCAACCAGGACAAGCCCCTGCCACCAGGCACAGCCTTTGCCTTCATCCAGGTGAGCCCCACACCTGTCTAGGGGCACATGCAGACACTGGCAGGATGGGGTGAAAGCTCAGCTTTCCCAGCTTTAAGTCTCAACTCCCATCACGGGGTGTAGTTATGCCTGTGCTGATCTCTTGGCCTCATTGCAAGGCATGGACACCTGTGCTCCTGACCAGTCCATCTCCCCCTGGCTTTTCCAGGATGGTTGCTCTGTCTGGCTCTCCATGGCATGCCAGCCTTGCCAAAGCTGACAGATGCAGCACAAACCACTAACCTTAACCACAAAAGAACCCCTGCAAAGGTACTGCAGTCATGCCTCTTTAAAAGAGCCCCATCTCCTCCCAGGCAGTGCAGTATGTTAACAAGAAGATCCTGGAGAGCAACCCAGAAGAAAGGGACCTCTTTGACATCCTGGTTCTCTCCAACAACAGCCCAGAGAGCGGCGTGCGCATCATCAACAGCGCCAAGCACTACGGTAAGGGGGACCCATCCCTGGCAGTGCCTGACACCCCTGGGAGGCTGCAGAGCACATCAGGCACCACAGTGGATCATCAGTGGCAAAC